TCCTGTTATATTTCACCCAGATTTTTCCCTGCAACCAAAACCTGAAAGGAGGCAAGGATGTTATCATCATCAACGTTTTAAAACTAATGCAGATATGCCACCTCTCTCTCTCTCTCTCTCTCGTGACCTTGGGGCCACTTGGCAGAGTCTGAAAATCAAGTTGCCCAAGTGATGTTGGTACAGCTGTGTTCCCTTTTATTTCATCAGAAAACAAGCAGCACCACCTCCGAGGAGCTACCTCAGAGGTGTGAAGGGCACAAACAATAAAATGTGTGAGATTTGACATCTGTAAATGCAGAGGTAATTGAAACAAATCAGGCTCCATATCCCATTCATTCATTTTCAAAGCAAACTGTGGTAAAAAAAATCTTTTAACATTGGCTACAGATTGTCTGCTGAATTCTCAAGCTGATAAGGCAGTTTTGACTAAAAAAGGCAGGGGTGGTGTAAATCCTGCAGAAAAAGGCTTTTTTGTTTGTTTGTTTTTGTTCCATTAAAAAGTCTTTTGTCAATAGGGCTTAGGGTAAGGCTTTCTCAGAGATGTTTTCAGAAACGGCGTAAACGGCGTGCAATAGCTGTTTCCTTCTCTGCTTCAGATTGGGCTTCCTTTCTGTCCAATCCAGGTTCTTCCTTCTTGTGCTTTGATGGTTTGTGTGGCGGTGTTTAGGAATAGCTGGTTCAAAGGGCAGCCCAGGTGGTCACTACAGCCAAAATCCACAAAGTCCACCAGAAACAACCAGCCCTACTTACAAAACATTTTCTCTTTGAAAGCCATGTAGGAAAAACAGACCAACTTAATTCTATTACTACACCTGGAAATTAGGACTCTGTGGAATGGATATAATTCAGAGGAATGGCTAAAATTGGCATTTAAGAAGAATTTAAGTAACTAACACTCATTTTTCTCAGAGGCTGAAACACACACGCACACATACACACAACCATCTGCCAGAAAAACAGAGTTCTTGAGCTTCATGTTCGTACTTGGAACTTCCCTGCCTTTGTGATGTACTTCACACCTTTAAATGGTTTATATTTTTCTCCATACATGTCAAGGCGATTTACTTTCAGTCCTGAAATAAATAACGGACACACATTAGAAAAGCGCATTTCAGGACATTATGGAAGAATTATAATATAGAGTGAAGCTAAGTTCTTTTAGTTTCCCTGCCCCCAAATGGGGAATACAGCAATATTTTTCCAACGAAGGGTTAAGATAAAGGTTCCCCTCACACATACACTATATTGCCAAAAGTATTCGCTCACAACTGCTTCTGATTATGTGGATGGGTGAGCGAATACTTTTGGCAATATAATGTATGTGCTAGTCGTTCCCAACTCTAGGGAGCACTTCTCATCTCCGTTTCAAAGCCAAAGAGCCTGCACTGTCTGAAGACGTCTCCGTGGTCATGTGGCCAGCATGAATAAATGCCAAAGACACAT